GGAAAGATTTCCACCCTGGGTGGAAGGTCTTCTCTGAGCTCACACTGCTCCTAGTGTCTGCTATTAATCATAAACCCATCTTGTGTAATTTATGGAATGCTCATGGCCCTGACCATGGTGAGCAGTCACCACTGGAAGCTGATCCAGAATTATGGAGTTACCATCAGCAAGCCCCATGCTGATAGCTCTGTCAAGGTTTGTATAGCATACCTCAGCTCCTGAAGGCTCCAAGACTTTTCCAGGGCAGGACATATCCCAGAAATCCCCTCCTGCAGAGGTATAGGCTTGCGGTGTCATATAGACAGAGTTACCTCCAAGACTACACTTTTACATGAAGATCACATGTAAAGCTAATCAGTGGTGTCAGAGTCTTGGTCTCTGGTTGATTGGGAAGTCTGTTTCACTCTACCACGAGAAGCAATAAAATGTCAGGATTCATCGAGAACTTTAGAAACATGACACCACTAAATGTGTCTTTACAGCAGTTGTGTATAAGTGCTTTTTCAGTTTTCTCTCCAGTGTCTCTTGCAATCTGCAGCCCTGAAGAAACCTCTTGCTTTGTAAAAGCAATTGGGAGGCTTATAAGATAATTCAGGTTGAAGGGACCACAGGAAGTCTCTACACCAGTCTCCTGCTCAAAGTGAGGTTAGCTATGAGGTCAGACCAGAAGACCTTTATCTGTCCTCAAAAAAACTAGTCTCATAGTCTTTCAGAGCAATCTTAAACAATCCCAATATTTTCTTTGAAATCAGACATGTTGTTTTCTGAATTTTTAGCCATTCTTTTCTACTTTTCTGGGATCTCAGAGCGAGAAGCTAGCAGAGCTTTCCTGGAGTCCCTCCTTCCTTTCATGAAAAGCTTTGGGAAACTTCAGGAGAACTCAGTGGTCTTTGAAGAGGAGTCATCTCCCCTACCATGAACATAGCAAAGTACACACCTGCACCTGAGCTGGTTGAAATGCTGTCACCCAGTGCGAGGTTCTCAGCTACAGACAGGACAAACTCTTTGTTAAAAACCTAATTTTAACCTCCTCTTTTGACAAAGTTTATTTTGCACTGTGCTTCAGTGCAGGAAAGGGTTGGCTGATGCTTTTTAACACCATCTATTGTCCAGTTCAGCTGGCTTTACCAGCCATGAGAACTTTCAAGGAAGATTGTCTATTCATATACATTACCATAATCTGCTTTCCCCTAGCAAATTATCCAGAACACACATGGTGAATATTGCAATAACTGGAGTAAAACGTGTAAGAGCAAAAGAAAGTTTCGGGAATATGAGCATTGGACTGTCTGTTCACTGACGGACATTACAAAGCTTCCCATATGTGACCCAGTTTATTTGAGCATGCATCATGTTCCTGGACACAGGTACCTAATGCTATATAAGACATTGAGCAGTATGCAGACATCTACGTGGGGCTGGCTGATATGAGCCTGGAGTTATAAGACCCACACCCTTCCAACAGGACAGCTGGAGGACGTCAAGGATGCCCCAACACATCTCAAATGGGAAAAGACACCTAATTGGAGGCTCCTGAATTGGTCCCTTTGTACAGGGTTCGTCTGTACAGCATAGAATCATAGAATGGTTTAGGTTGGAAGGGACCTTGAAGGTCATCGAGTTCCAACCCCCTGTCATGGGCAGGGACACCTCCGACTAGACCACATTCCTCAAAGCCCTGTCCAACCTGGCCTTGAACACCTCCTGGGATAGGGCAGCCACAGCTTCTCTGGACAACCTGTTCCAGTCCCTCACCATCCTCAGAGTGAAAAAATTCTTCTTAATATCTAATTTAAATCCCCCCTCTTCAAGTTTGAAGCCATTCCTTCTCATCCTATCACTACATGGCCTTGCAAAAAGTCCTTCCCCAGCTTTCCTGTAGCCCCTTCAGATACTGGAAGACCACAATAAGGTCTCCCCAGAGCCTTCTCTTCTCCAGGCTGAACAACCCCAACTCTTTCAGCCTGTTCTCATCACAGAGGTTCTTCAGCCCTCTGATCATCTTCACGGCCCTCCTCTGTCCTCGCTCCAACAGATTCATTTTTCCTATGTTGGGGGGTCCAGAGCTGGACACAGTACTCCAGGTGGGGTCTCATAACATTAGATTTTTATTTCAGAGCTCAGCCCAGCAGACTGCTGTTTCTACAGAGCAGGCACAGGGTCCCGTGTCACTGTAGCGTTGGCAGCAATTCAAACAAGCCATCTGAAACATGCCTGCTTGGAAGGGTTGAATTAGCATGTCTTACTGGCTGGGAGCCTGAAATATCACTCCCAGTCCTTACTGGGGCATTTCTGCCAGTCTGCGGGCAGTGCAGAGCAGCACAGACTTTGGGGCAACCCTGAATGGACACCCAAAATGTCCTCTTTAGCCATCCATTTTTCATGTATGGGGCAACCTGCTTGGCACTTATCCCCTAGAAAGTGTCAGTAGGGTTCAGGTGCAGTGTGTTTGTGTGCATTTATCCTTTTCGGTTGCTTTTTGTGCAGGTACTCCAGAAGTGCCTCCGCTCCGGCTGGTGAATGGCCCCACTCATTGTGCCGGGAGAGTTGAAGTGTTTCACAGCCAGCAGTGGGGGACAATCTGTGACGACAGCTGGGACTTGAGCGATGCTGCAGTGGTATGCCAGCAGCTGGGCTGTGGGACAGCCATGTCTGCCCCGGGTTCAGCTTATTTTGGGCAAGGTTTTGGCCGTATCTGGTTGGATGATGTGAAATGCTCCGGTGGAGAAGCAGCCCTCTCTGAGTGTGCAGCGAGGCCTTGGGGAGCCCATAACTGTAATCACGGAGAAGATGCGGGCATCGTATGCTCAGGTAACCTTCATCCATGTCCCATCCTACTGGGAATTAGACTAAGCTTCTAGGCTGGCTGTCGGGGCTGGTGGCTTTTTGTCCTTTCCCAGTCTAACCTCCTTGTCTTTGACAAGTACCATGGGGTGATGTTGAAGGCATGGAGTTGGAGCTTGGTGATTTGAGGGATGATTCCCATGTCTCCATGTGGCAGCACGTTTTTCCTATTTGCATTTTTTAAATATCACTAAGTATTATATGCACACTAGTAACTTTCAGTGGCTTGTCAGCAAGCTGCTTTTACAGGTCTGGATTGCATACATTTCCTTCTAGGTGGGATCTAAACCTCACAGACATTCCAGAGTGGAGAAGAGAGATTATATTGCCAACCAATATGAGTACGACATTCATTTAACCCAAACAAAAGTGATTGTTCATGTCCAAAGAGCATGCAGTACAGAAGCAAACAACTGAGACTCAGTTCTATCACACTCAAATGCAAGCACCCAACTGACATGACCAAATCGGGGCAATCTTTGCCCTGGGAACCTGTTCAGTTAATGAACAGAGAAAGGCACCTGCATGGGGCAAGGCAGCCCAGCTACCCTCTGAATCACCTCAGATGACTCTCAGTCCTATAGAAGGAGCTTTGGGTGATGTTGTGGCTAGTTTGGGTACCTCTGTGGGTGCCTGCACATGGTCCCACTGGCCACAATTCCTGCCACAAGGCAAGTTTCCAGGCATCTTCTTTCAGGGGTGGAGGGAATATTTGAAGAACACTGCTGGGCACTTGAAGTCAACTTGAATCCTTGCAACATCTCACAGTAGCATGCCTGCTCTGCTCAACAGGTCATACAGTTCCCATGCCAGTTCATCCCCTCCTGCTGATATTGTCTCTAATCCATAAAAGTTGTCTTGTGCTGATTCAGGGATACAATATATAAACATTTGGCTCCTGCTGTATGAGCTTGGACAGACGTGGGTAGCCAGCACCCTTCCCCTAGAAGTGTTCAGTCACTGCAGTGAAGTCCTCACATAGCTTGCCCTCTCAAAAGTAAAACAGACGGAACCTCATGGCTCTCTGAGACATTCACTCCAAGCCTTAAACCATTTCCATGCCTCTTCTCACCTTCTGTCTGAAAAAAAAAAAAAAAAAAATGTAGACATGTACCTGAACTTTGAATTCTGTGAGTCTGTGTGATGCTTTGTGTTGTGGTCAGATCACCACCAGGTTCACCTCATTTCTGCCCTCCCCAGAGCCACACTGAACTAGGACACTTCCCCAAAACAGGGTGATATTTAGCTGCTTTAGACCTACTTTGGAATGGGATGAACTGGTCTGGGGGTAGGTGGGGGAGAGGACCGAGTCATCTGTCCTGCCTGTAAAACTAGCTTGAGTTGGCCAAATAACTTGGAGACACCCACTGTCAATCCTTTGGTCTTTGCTTCATTGGGATTAAAGCATTTGTGTTGTACTGACAGGCACAAAGTACATTGCTTTTTGGAAAGCAAAAATCACACAAAAAAATCTGTGTTGGAGGCTAAGTCGTGACTGGACACCCCTGAAATCAGAAATTACCCACTTGTAAAGTGCCAGTTTTGGTCTGTAGGAAAACTGAAGGAGAAAAAGGCATGAATTGTTCCCTATGGGGAGGGCAGTTCGCCCCCTAAGGAGGGACAAACAAACTTTCAGACATCAGCTTGCATGGTTCCAAGTTCAGGACTCTTCCCAAGGCTCTTATGGCTGCCCCTTGTTAGTTGTCTGAATGTTAGTGGAGGCAAATGTTCCTCTGCAGACCTGCAAAATGGTATGCTGTCATACCATTGGTATAAATATTCATTGTATTAATTCCTCACATAAATATTCACCATGCTGGACCAACAGCTCCCTGCCAGATATGTGCTCAGGCAGCAGAGGTCCAGGAGCAATTTATGAGACAGCCAGATGTTCAGTTCTAGGGGAACTTTATTGATACTTGGCAAAGTTTGCTTTTCAGTGGGAATAATGTGTTGATCTGGGTTTTCCATCAGTGCAGTTATAACCAAGTTTGTAGATCCTTCAAAGGATGAGAGAGGATGGTTTTGCCAAACCCTGCATCCCGTTATGGCACACTGGTGGTTCTGCAGCATCCCTGCCCTTCGCCTTCTCAGCTGAATCTTCCCCATCTGGCCCATCTTCGTGTGGCAAGATGAACATGGTCCAGTGTGGCGGCTGGCACTCACAGTGCTTCTGGCTCCTCCAAGTTCTTGTTAACTGCAGAGAGAGGGAGCAAGGTAAAGTAAAATATGCTCTCAGGAACTCTCTGACACCAGAATTGCTTTCTAGAAGTGACAAGGGCTCTTGTCCTGAAGAGGATCTGCAGGTTGGGTTATACCCATATATTTGGGGCTGTCAGGAACCCAACACCTGAGCTTTGGACAGTGCCTGGTGGCATCCAGGACAGGACTCATGAAGTGCAGATTCTGACCCTGGTGCACATTGCACTGCTTGACCCAGAAGCCCACAACACATGGTCCTGACAGCATGACCCTGTGCAGCACCCAGGTGAAATCCAAGCCCCTACAGCCCTGCTCCTCCATAATGAAACCAGCCAAAGACTCCCAGGGATTCCCCCCTTCACCCGTGCAGGTTCTGTCCAAGCTTCTCTCTCAATAAATAGGGCATAAGGAGTCTGGAACTCGGCCCTCAAGAGCTTCAGAGAGTCCAACCCTAACAACTACAGAGTATTGATGATGTACTGATACAGAAGCATCTCGTCCCAGACATTGTTTCCCCCACAGATGCTCATCATTACCTCCTACCCCAGAAACTACTCTGCCTTCTCTCTTTCTGCCCTTTAGGAGCCTTGCCCTGTACAAAACCTGCTTGTTGGAATCTCCCCAGGAGTAGCCATCCCATAGTCAGACTGTCACCTCTGTGTTTTCCTCTGCTCCACTTACGCACCTCTCCCACCAGCTGGTCCCACCATATTCATCCTAACCGGGTGCTCTGTATTCCTTATGGCTCCCTGCTGTACCCATTTCCCTGCCTTCACCAGCATTATCCTGAGCTGGGGGGAGCCTTCCTGCCCTATGATTCCCCTTCTGTCTCCTGCAGTCCTGCCTGCTGGCTCTGATAAGAGGTGTTTGACCCTGTCCCCACATCACTTCACATGCCACGGTGATGGGTAGTTACCTGCACAAACAACATCAGCATCCTCTCCGTGGTAGCAGTTGTGTTCACCCCATGGCCTGGCCTGACAGTCAAAGATGCTCTCTTCTGTCCCGTTGCATTCAACATCGTCCAGCCAGATGATGTCTGACCCTCGTCCATAGCGGGCACCTCCCAGAGCTGACAGCGGTGACCCACAGCCCACCTGCTTGCACACCACCTTGGCGTCCTTCATGTCCCAGTGGTCATCACACACACTGCCCCACCGGTTCTCATGGAGCACCTCGACTCTCCCAGCACACTTGTTCGGGCCATCCACAAGCCGGATTGGCCCCTCCTCAGATATGTCCACCTCTGCACCAATGCCCAGAAAACAAATGTTAAGGGAATGTCCTACACACCCCACCACCTGTGGAAATCTTGCCTGCTCAGAAGAGGCTCAGGTCTCCGTGAGCACACCAAAGACATGGCAAGGGCTGAGCTTCTCTGAGGCAGGAAGGAAGATAGAAAACCCAGGGAGAGGGGCTGTGGGAAAAGGACAGGAAGAAGGTTTCCTGGTCTTCATGGATGGTTGCAGGCTCTACTGGGTGTCTGCCTCAAGGAGTCTGCTTATACTAATCACTCTGCAGCCCAGAGATGAGACAAGGGAGCAGAGCAGTCTCAGGTAGGAGAGGATTTAATGCTGCCCCTGGGTCAGCTACATCCACATGTCCCCCCTGGGTCACTGGGCAAGTGCTGCACCCAGTGATGGGATTAGTTAATCAGCTGCATCCATCTCTTGTTCCCATCAGCAGACATAGAATAATAGAATTGTTTTGGTTGGAAAAGACCTTTAAGATCACTGAGTCCAACCATAAACCTAACACTGCCAAAACCACCACTAAACCATGTCCCTAAATGCCACATCTGCACATCATTTAAATACCTCCAGGGATGGTGACTCCACCACTTCCCTGGGCAGCCTGTTCCAACATGTGATAAACCTTTCAGTGAAAATTTTTTTTCCTAATATCCATCCTAAACCTCCCCTGTCTCAACCTGAGGCTGTTTCCTCTTGTCTTATTACTTGTTACTTGGGAGAAGACACCAACCCCCACCTCGCTACAACATCCACAGAGCTGCACTGGGGCTCAGGACCAGCTCTGATTCAGGAGGGGTCATGTGTGTGGTGGGATCTCCTCATTGTACTATGCAGAGGATGGGGGACAGAGGGGAGTTTACCTGAGCAGTCCACACTGGCATCTTCCACGTGGTTGCAGATGTTGTCTCCCCATGGCTTCGCCTCGCCATCGGTGAGGGACGCTTCTGTCCCTGTGCAGTTCACGTCGCTCAGCCAGATTTGGTCTTTCCCTTCCCCATATTTTGACTCCCGAGGGGCTGATACTGCCGTCCCACAGCCCAGCTGCCTGCACACAACCTTTGCCTCCCGTAAATCCCACTGGTCATCACAGACAGTCCCCCAAACACCGTTGTGAAGCACCTCAACTCTCCCAGAGCAGCGGTTGGGGCCGCCTACCAGGCGGACTGAAGTGGAGACGGTGATCCCCGAGTCTGCAGACACATCCAGAGAGGGCATGCTCAGGCTGGGCATTGGTGCGTATGCCCCCTCTTTCCTGAGTATTCCCACCCTGCCCTGCACACAGCAGCCTCTCCTCCGTAGCTTTCTCCACATATGACATGCCACTGTCCAAGCAAGAAGCACAATGGCAGGCTTAACCTGAAGAAAAATGGCCACAGAGCACCCCCGTGAGCAGGGAGGAGAGAACCTCCCAGAATGAAGCCCTCTTCCATGGTGTAAAGACCCCAGGCCATCAACAGGACTATTAGGTTAGTACCAACTCAGTAGGAGAGTGCTCTATAGGAAGCCCTTTTTCCTGTCAACGGTTGTGCGCGTGTTGACTGTGAGGACACCACAACACATGGCTGGGAAAAGCAGGAGAACAGAAGGATTACCTGAACAAATTGCACTGGCATCTTCCCCGTGGTAACAATTGTGGTCTCCCCACGGCCTCGCTGGGCATTCAGAGAGAGCAGCTTCTGCCCCTGTGCAGTTGACATCATCCAACCAGATGGTTTCAAGTCCTCGTCCAAACTTGGCCCCAATGGGGGCCAGCACCGCATCCCCACAGCCCAGTTGTTTGCACACAACTTGAGCATCATTTAGATCCCAGTCGTCATGGCACACGCTGCCCCACTGTTCTTCATGAAGCACCTCAACCCTGCCAGCGCATCGGTTTGGGCCTCCCACCAGCCGGATTGGCCCTGGCTCAGGTATTTCTGTTCCTGCCAAAAACAAACAAGGAAGAAGTTTTGGGACAAGTCTCTGTGCCCCTGATCACCTGGAGAAAGCAGAATCTCCCATGATGTACCAAAACTGCCTCTGCTCATCCTAAAGCCTGACAAAGGCTCCCTTCCTAGCTCCTAGCTTGAGAAGAAAAGTTGAAGGGAAAATAGTATCAATATAGATGCTGACAGGGGAGGGAGGAGACTATCTGTGTCCACTCCCAGCTCTGCAGGTTGTTCCAGGTCCAGTTGGAATTTCTCTGCGCTGAGTGCAGTAGGAAGCTGGAGCTCAACAAAATCATTCTGCATCCCTGAACTCCTAACTGGATGGTCCAGAGATTGCACCCTGGCTTAGTTGGGGCCAATGTGGCACAAAGTAAAAGACACCTGGGGGATTTACCTGAGCACTCCACACTGGCATCTTCCACGTGGTTGCAGATGTTGTCTCCCCATGGCTTCGCCTCGCATTCGGTGAGGGACGCTTCTGTCCCTTTGCAGTTCACATCGCTCAGCCAGATTTGGTCTTTCCCTTCCCCATATTTTGACTCCCGAGGGGCCGATACTGCTGTCCCACAGCCCAGCTGCCTGCACACAACCTTTGCCTCCCGTAAATCCCACTGGTCATCACAGACGGTCCCCCAGACATCTTTGTGAAGCACCTCGACTCTCCCAGAGCAGCGGTTGGGGCCATCCACCAGGCGGATCTCAAGTTTGGTTGAGTCTACATCTTCTAAAGAGAGCAGAAATCCCAGAGTGAAGGCAGGGAATGAGAAAGAGGGCTCTTCCTCCCCCGACAGGCTGTCTCTATTGCCAAACCAGGAGGAAGAAAAGCCCAGGGTATTCTAGAATCCAAAAGCTTTGGAGTATTGGAATGGGGTTTTGAGCTGGGAATGGCCAAAAGCCGCAGGTGTTTGTGGGTCCATAAGTCTGTTTTGAGATACAAATTACAGGGTTCATCTTCAGATGTAACAGGAGAGGTGTAGCCCCCGTAAAACCTACCCCAGCATTTAGGTTCTGGGTAAGATTCCCCATAGTTAAGGCCAGTGTCTCCCAGAAAATGCTCCTACAAGGACTGGAAGCATGGAGGAGAGAATTGAGACCTTTCTGCCCATTCCCCAGTGGAAGGGATGGGCTTGCTCAGCTATTAGCAGTGATTGCTGGGTGCTGTTGTGGACCTACAGAAGTCAGCACTCGGTAGTGGAAAGGAGCTACTCAGTCCTGCTGTCGAACCCGCCAGGACACACAATCCCTCTCAAAACCTGGATCCATTTGCCAAACCTCTGATCACAACACTGTTTGCCACCCTACTATCAGGAACCAAATCTCTCCAAGTACCGTTGCCTCTTTGCATGGATCTGGGGTGCTGTAAAGGGAGAAATTCAGGGACTGAAAAGTGCCAGAGTCTGAAACCCTGAAGCACCTCCACACGGGCTCATGGAGTCAAGGGAGTACCAGGCATTCCTCCATCTCATGGTGATCAGACCCCAGCATCGAGGATATCCCAACATCTGGTTTAACTTTGCTAAAATGAGCAACTGTTTTGTCCATGTTTTGGATGAGTATTGCTCCTTTCACCCAGAGATCTCCAGCAGGTACCAGCTCACAGACTACACAGTGGGTAGAGTCAGGTCTTCTCCATCGGCTAATCAGGAGAACGCGGTTCACAGAGAGATCATAGGCCACAGAAACAGGTTTTGGACTGAGGTGTCTTGGCTTCGAGCAACATATTTAAATCTCCAGATCAGACACAGCCTCATTCTGCATGACATTTTATGACAGCTACGTGTACTGACTCATGCTCCACACTCTACTACAAATACTGACCTGCCAGCAGGACTCCTGCAAGGGAAGCTGAAATAGAAGAAATACAGGATGTTAGTCTGAGCTCTGTAGAGCACGGAGATTCAGGACAGCAAAACATCAGGCAAGAGACAACAAAGTGAGCTCTGTTAGACCCCATCATTGCTGTCTGTCTCCCAAAAACACAGCTGTCAATGGGCTTTGCCTAGTGCATGTCCATGGGACTTTCTTGATAAAGAGGTCAGATAAGGAGAGAAAACTTAAAAAATAAAGTCTACTGGAAAAAAAAATGTGAAAATGCTGTAACAAAGCAGGTGGGTTTTCTCTCATCTGGATTCAGTCAGCTGAAAACCAGTGTCCAGATAGATTAGATTAGACAATTAGATTAGACGGCTAGATTAGATTTGAGTCAATTTGATCCAAGTCAATTTGATTCAAGTCGATTTGATTCTATTCAATTGAATTTGATTATACAGGCTCCTGTGACAGCCAGTGAAAAGAGCTGAGTCATGTCAGATGGATAACCATCTCATCCTAGGGCTGGTGCCCAGAGCAGAGGGTGGAATTGGGGCTGAAGGTGCTTTTCTCTCCCTAGAGATTCTGAATGTGACACCCAACTCTTATCAACAGTGAGGCAAGAGGTACACCACTGAAAATGTGGTGAGTTGCACGTAGCACAGCATTTTTATTTCTTCTCGGTCAGGGCCCGACCATGAAGAAGCATTGGCATCTCTGAACATCAGGCAGACACCAGACAAAATTAACCCCAGGACTGCTGTCAGTCCTGCAGACATTAATGGTAGCAGTGAAATGCCATGGGAACAGTTATGGGCCTGCTAATGCGGTTGTGCAAAGAAATGTCTTCAAGGTGGAATGTATGGGAGACTTGTGCAAAGAGGCTGTTCCTATTCAGCTTTCCCTGAGGATTAACTATCAGTCAAGGCAAACCCTGGGAGGAAAAGCCTGAGGAAAAACTTGCCAGGATCTGTTTTTCCTGGAAACTTAGGAGAATGAGACTTTGCGCCCACTGTAGAAGGTCAACAGCAAAGAAGAGCTCAACACAAACAGCAATTTCTGCTCCTAAATGAAGCAGTCTGGCAAGATCCCAAGCATTGACCAACAGCTCCGTGCAAGGGCAGAACTGCTGACACCAGGACAAGCATTAGAGTTACTGCCCAGATAATTCATTTTTCCATCTGCCTTTTTTTTTTTTTTTCCCAGGCTACTTTTAAGGTTTATGGGCTGAGACGCCTAATGGCTATCCCCCTTCTCTTTGTAAATTCCAGTTGCACTCAAATAATCATCCTGGTGGCCTGAAGTGCCTATTCATGCACCAGGGACAGGGCTCTGAGCAACATGATCTCGTTGAAGTTATCCATCCCTGCTCATTGCAAGGGGGGTGGGCTACATGACCTTTAATGCTCCCTTCCAACCCAAACCATTCTATGGTTCTATGAACCCACACAGGCTAGGGACCCACAGCAGAGAAACGGGGGCAGGGAACCTCACCTTGGGTGCTGCTGTCTTTGCTTACCAGGGCTGAAATTCAGTTCCCAAATTAGACACTTTTCAAGGTGTCTAGGTGTTGGTGCCAAGGTGGAGCAGCATCCAGCTGTCCACCCGTGGCTGGTCTAGTCTAGTGACATCTGAGGGTATCTGAGTGTCCACACTCTGTTATCAGATATGGATCAGATACCACCAATTGCATTTCAGTTCCTGGCAATGTCCCATTTGCTTTGTGCTGTGGGCTGTAGAAGAAGCAATAGTGGAAGAGAGGAACCATTGGCAAAGAGGAAAAAAATCCCACCTCACTTACCCCAGAGACATGCCAGGAGGACAAGCCTCATGTTGGTAGCGAAGATACTGTGCGCTTGTAGTCTCCACAGGGGAGGAGGGCAGGGAGGAGGCAGGACATGCACTCAAGAGACTGGTTATTTGAAATGTCCCACTTGTCATGGCTCCTCCCCTCCACCCCAAAAACCTCCCTCCATGTCCCGTGGCAGGTGCTCATCAAGTACGAAAAGCCAAGCCTCTGCCAGGAAGCAACTCTTGTGCCATGAGCATCACGTAAGCTGAGGGATTGTGAAACTGGGCTGTTTCGGGAATCTGCTGAGCAAACAAGTCGTCTCAGGACAGCTGGTTCTGGACCATCGGCGGCAGGGATGGGGGGAGACAGGGTTTGGCAAGTTGCCTTCCACGACTGGCTTCAGGCAGCTGCAGGAATAAGGCATCAGTGCCCCGGCTTAGCTGGGAAAATGGGTATGACCCCGTGCCGCTAATACAGCATGAGAAGAATTAAGAAAATGTTTCCCACTGCTGAAAACAGTGTCTTCCAAAAGTGGAAGTTTTCTCCAGTTTTTGTCTCATGTTTGTCCCAAGACATGGGAAATCTTTGTGAAATTTGGTTGCAGGTCTACATGTGTTCACTATCCAGTTAAATTTTAGGTTGCTGTGAGACCTCCTCCTGGTCTTGACAAAGCCAGATGTGCAAGCTGCAGGATCAGAGAATTATAGAATCATAGAATCATCTAGGTTCAAAGGGACCTTTAAGATCATCGAGTCCAACCATTGACTTAACGCTGACAACACCACCACTAAACCATGTCCCTCAGCACCATGTCTACTCATCTTTTAAATACCTCAAATGATGGCAATTTCACCACTTCCCTAGGCAGACTCTTCCAAGGTGTGATAACCTTTCTGGTGAAGAAATTTTTCCTAATATCCATCCTAACCCCCCCACCCCGGCTCAACTTGAGGCTGTTTCCTCTTGACCTATCACTTGTTACTTGGGAGAAGAGACTGACCCCCATCTCCCTACAACCTGCTTTCATGGAGCTGTAGACAGTGAGAAGGTCTCCCCTCAGCCTCCTTTTCTCCAGGCTGAACACCCCCAGTTCCCTCAGCCGCTCCTCATAAGACTTGTCCTCCAGACCCCTCACCAGCTTCGTTGCCCTTCTCTGGACACGCTCCAGCACCTCAATGTCTTTCTTGTAGTGAGGGGCCAAAACTGAACACAGTGTTCAAAGTGGGGCCTTATCTGTCCTCTGTCCTGCCTCTTACTGTCCTGTCCTCCCTGGATGGGACAGCCAGGCTCCTATGTCCCCTATGAGGCTGAATCACCCAGTCATATGGATGAGCAGGGATCTGAAGCAGCTGCTATCATGGGTGGGATCTACCTCGTGCCAACTTTTGTATCTGGAAAATGCATTTAGATACCTTGTATTCACGGCAAAGATCATCAAGCACTTCTAGGAGGCAGTTTCAGTTGGGTGTCGCACTCAGACACCCATACTGGAGATGTCTAAGGGGGAAGATGCTGCTGGGCTAGCTGAGGATGTGGAGATGCTGAAGGGAAGGCAATGTGATGCTAGAATTGCTCTGCACCTTCCACCACTCAGCAAAATCCTCAACCGTGTCTTTGCATTTGTGCTAGCTATCTGGGCAAGGCTGGCCCACAGGACCGTCGCTCAGCCTCACCCCTAGAAATAGAGGTGGGTGCAAAAGAGCTAAGTTGAAAACACAGAAAATAGGCTTTACTGCTGAAGACACACAGCAATATCTTTCATCCTAGGGAGTGTGCGTTGGACAGACAAGAGTTTGTGCAGCTCTGAGGTAGGTACTCCTCTACTTAGGCTGTACAACCCAGGGACTACTTGCAACACCTCCTTTGCCTTCCCCAAGCCAAGGAAGAGTTTGAAGATACCCTCTGAGGATGACAGACAAGGAGAGGACATCCCTGGCAGAAATGGAGGGTAGGAGTGGGTGACAACTCACGGGGAAGGTGAATGAGGGTAGGGGTAGAAACCCTTCTTTGGAACAGCCAGTCCAGCAGATGAAAGGTGAAGGGGATGGGCCAGAAAAGCAGGCCTGAATAAATACAAATCTCAGGCCACCGAGGACCATGGCCTTCTCAAAGAGATGCATCGGTCCAAGTTTAAGTCAGGTGCGTATTAAATTTTATATCAAAGCTGTGTGTGGTGGAGGAGAGCATTGCATCCAACTGAGAGCAGATGAATCACAGAATAGTTTGGGTTGGAAGGGACCTTTAAAGGCCATCTAGTCCCCCCCTCCCCATTAACAACAGGGACATCTTCAACTAGATCAGGTTGCTCAGAGCCCCATCCAACCTGACCTTGACTGTTTCCAGGGATGGGACATCCACCAGCTCTCTGGGCAACTTGGGCCAGTGTCTCACCACCTTCATTGTAAAAAAGTTCTTCCTTATATTTAGTCTGAATCTCCTCTGTTTTAGTTTTAAACCATTACCCCTTGTCCTATCCCAACAGGCCCTGCTAAAAAGTTTGTCCCCATCTTATAAGCCCCCCTTAAGTACTGAAAGGCCACAAGAAGGTCTCCCCAGAGCCCTCTTTTCTCCAGGCTGAACAACCCCAACTCTCTAAGCCTGTCCTCACAGGAGAGAATAAAGATGAGGTCCCTATATTGGCATTTGAAGACCATTCTCATCTGTTTGCTTAGTTTTCAGTTTTGCTCACTGAGGACATTTTCAGCCTCTCCCTCTCTGTTCTGTTTTCTATGCTTAATAGCTGTTACTGCCTCCCTTCTCGCCAGTCTCCAATGGTTGGCCAACACCCTTCTCGAAAGCTGGTGCACACACCCAGCCACTGATGTGCAGCAGAGACCTCAGCACTCCTGGGAAAATACGATGGTCATGCAGACATCCTGTACACGGAGGGACCTCGTGTTCCAGAAGTCTCAGGTAAGGTTTGTTTTTTTCGCAATACCCATAGGTTGTTGAGCCACAGCCTGTTGTGCTTTGATACTGATCCTTAGGTTCTTCCCGCTTGTGGAGAGTCTGGCCGGTAATTCCTGGTTTGTATTTGTACAGTCGATTACTTGTTTGATAGTTAATCCCAACAAACCTGTGTTCATTGACACTTTGCATGTTGTCTTCTAGGTAACCACAAATAGAAGTATTGGCTTTGTGTTCAATGTTTTTCCAGGAACTGAATTTAGACTGAATCTTCTAAAATTCACTGGAGTTCTTTCCTCCCCAACTCATTGACTTCTTCCCTCCCTCATTCCCTCTTCATTCCTCTCTTCCTTCTTTTTTTTCTTTCTTGATTCCCTCCTTTATTCTTCTCTTCTTCTCTT